ACACACACACACACACACACACCGGGGTCATCACAATATGTGTTTTTGTACATATACAAAAACGCATAAAAAGAGTACATTAGGAACCGCTACATGATTTAAATGATATTTCTCAATTCGATTGTTTCACAATGATTTATTATATAACAAGAGTTCTATTTCTGATACCAATATCTGTACTATACTGACTGTATTATACAGAGTTTAAAGAGCCGGAAAAGCCTGGAAAGAAACTGGTGTTGAGGAGGAGGAGAGCTAAGCAATGAGGAGGAGACCGAAAATTTGAGGGGACATTTAAAAATGCATTTATATACAGAACAAGAATGATGAAGATGCAAACGCGAATGCGCGCAGTCTGATCTTGTCCAGACTATCGTTGCGCAGTAGATGTTGAGCGGCATATGCACAGGCCAACTGGAACTGCATTTGAGGCCAGTCGGAGCAGTCTTTTGCAATGATCGCTAGCGCTGTTGTTCGGTCATCAATTTCATACCTAAATTCGTGCACTCTGTGAAACGATGTCAAACGATGTCAAACGATGCACAGAATTAGTAAACCCAGGCTGGAACGCACCAGCCGAGCCGGGGCGGTCGTGCGTTTTTGCACCAGACTTGAAATAATTAGGTTAACTGCATGAGTGGTTGTTTCTTTACACCTACCTTGTGCTCTCAATGCTGCAACTCATCGTAAATTTTGCATAAAAAAAATAAACAATATCCGTTTAGCGGTCTTTTTTTGAAAATGACCCAGCCGTTCAATTAGTGATTTCCTGCCCAAAATTTAAGTGCACGTGCACGAGAACCACGCACGCCTGGGGGCTGAATTCGATAACTTTATGTCGCAACTGGATTGGGAACATTCCCTGAAAATTTCAGCTTCCCATCTTTACTAGTTCCCGAGTTAGCCATTTTCCCGCCAAAAAATCTCGCAGGGCCGTACGTGGGAACCGCGCAAGCCTGGGAGATGAATTTGCTGAAATTAAGTCGTATATAGGCTAGGAACATTCCCTGAAAATTTCAGCTTCCCAGCTTTGCTAATTCCCGAGTTAGCCATTTCCCCGCCGAAAAGTCTCATGGAGTCGTACGCGGGGACCACGCACGCCTGGAGGCTGAATTTGACAACTTTAAGTCGTAAGTGGATTGAGAACATTTCCTGAAAATTTCAGCTTCCCATCTTTGCTAATTCCTGGGTTAGCCATTTTCCCGCCGAAAAATCTCACGCGGCCGTACGTGAGAACCGCGCATGCCTGT